AATAGTAAGTGACGCTTTACGCGGAGGTATATCAAACACACCGTGGCAAGGTGTCAACAGTTGACGCAACTTGCTCCACATCGCTCCACGGTCGATAATGAAGTGTGGGAAGTTCACAAGTTTACCCCATTAGAGATAGTTGCGAGCGACCCCTCACGCTCGGTCCAGACGACCACTGCACCTCCACTTGCATACTTCCAAACATAACCCGACTACATTGTTTGGGAAACTTTTAACTGCCATTGCAAGTTGCTTTAAGATATTTTGCGATAGGATTAGTTGCAATAACTGCTGTGTTTGTATATTCTTGTTGTTTGTATAAAACATCTTATGATATAAATTATTATGAACGTCTCTTTACTGGTAGCTAAATTTCCTTTGTAACCACTGGCTGGTATTCCCTCACAAATTCTTCATTACATAGAGCCTTTAATTTGGAAACAAAACCAAAGCGTTTGTTATTATACCCGGGTTGGCAGTTTTAAAATTCCTGTGAAAGCAACTGCTTGGTCTTACAAAGCAGGATAATGTTAAGCGTTCATGCCATTGAATTATGCAACAAAAACGTGCTTCGCGACACACCCGCCCGAGACACCGGTGTAACATTTAAACAATGCATTTCATACGTGCCAGTGTACACAGGCACACACCCGCCCTCCCCCTAACCCCCAGCGTGCATGTAGCACAGTCGTCGGGGAGGTAGGCCGCGAGACACAATCGTCTTTGGAGATCAAAAGCAGTGTCTCGGTGAGCATATCCTCTCCGAATGTTTTGCTTCATTTTGTAAGAAATTTTATAGCTGTTGAACATTTTGAGAAGCCTCGTTAAAGGCTGCTTGTGACGGGAGATCAGCGCCCGCCATATCGCAGCGCATCGCCGGCTCGTTACAGAACGCTATTGTTCGAGTCTTTGGGCGGATTTTTTTGACGATGAATACCCAATTTCCCCGCAACACAGCGTCAGCAGTTTGATTGTCCGGTTGTGACAGGGTTTTTCAATTGATAAGCGATATTTATTCAACGGGATCAGTTGGTTTAGTATAAATATTGTTGAAATGTGAAACTTAAATATACTCAATAAGAACTTTTAACACATAACTTTTAGTTTTTTAAAGAAAATGTAACATTTCACAAGATCACGATGATGCCCATTTTTGTAGTAAAATTGTTTTCATTCTCAGATTTCTCTTGTTGACCAGTTAGAGGTCTAATCTCTAGATAATGTACAGAGGCAACATACGGCAATGAACAATATTCTGAGGGCGAGCCACAATTTATAAATATGTTTTCCTTTTTCAATCAGAATCAAGATTTCGGGTCAGTTCGCTTGGTTGGCGAGCGCCGTACTACCGTCTTCTTGTATTTTATCGTTTGCCCTGAAATATAAAAGTAATCTTTCTGCTAATAGAAACGGATCTGTGGTTTCTTTTCTGAAATTAATATCATTAATTATTCTAACTTCGATGTTGATCAAGTCGTCCCAATTTACTTTAAAATGTAGAGTGTCATGAAATGAAATGGAATAAAACGAAGAAAAGCTTTCCAGTGTGTATTGTTGAATGTACAATATATTCCCATAAATCGGTGAGGTGACTATATTGTAGAGAGACACATTGCTAGTGTGGGGCGGAATTAATGTCAGATTAGAAGCCGGACAGTGAGTGAGATAGCAGTCTGTTGTAGGTAGATACAATATTATAGGAGAAGTTGTTCTTCTTGATGATTTCCTTTGGTGGTTATTTGATTATTAGGTATTCCGGAAGTAACAAAACGTTATCATGTCTTTGTTCTACCCGTTTTATTCTAACATATTTATACCTGATTGTGTGTCATTAGATCCATCACTCATCTCATTGAGACTCAGCAAATCGTACACTGTAACGTTTACATCTCATCTCACGTGTCACCTGCACATCTAACGAGTTCACTCTATTTTTGATGTCGTTTCCCACTGTTGTTCCAGAACATGGGTGCAAGGAGTTCCGGTGTAAGCAGCGTGAGTTCTGCGTAAGCGCAGACCTCACCTGCGATGGCGTAGATCACTGCGCCGACGGCTCCGACGAAGACACCGCTACACTGTGCCCAGGTTAGCGAGTGCGTGTGTGCATTCGCTTGTAGTGCGTAGAGCTGTAGAGTGCAGCCTGGGTTAATTATACTCGCCATAGCTTAACTGTAGATAGTAGTGCAGCTTTCGGGCTAGTAGTAGTAGCAGTAACAGTAGTGTAGTCGACACCAGTTGAAATGAATCGAGAATGTTTGTGTCAGAGAGCGGAGGCACAGGCGCGGGCAGTGCGTGGGTGGCGGGATGCGCAGGCGCGGCGGCGCTGGTGGCGGGAGCGGCTGCCACGGCTGCGTGCTGCGCCTGCCGCCGCCGCGCCGCTACTCAGCGGACTCGGTTACATTGTGAGTGCGCCATCTTCCTGCGAGGCCTCGCTCAGCGGCTAGTGAGCCGACCTGCTCAGTACTGACTGGTCTTATTTTCGCGCAGTGCAAGAGCTGGCGAGCAGTAATGGCGGCGGCAGTGGCGTGGGCGCAGAAGCAGGCGCGACGCGACTGCCGGGAAACCCGGAGCTCCCTGCGGGCCCGTGCGGGGCGGCGCGGGCGGGCCGCCTGCGGCGGGCGGCCTGAGTGCCGCGCCGCACAAGGACGAGTGGTTCGTCTAGCGGCCCGGGGCCCGCAGGGGGGGGCCCGCCCGCCCCCGGCCAGCAGTGTTACGCAATGTAAATTTATCGATATGACATTAAACATTTTTGGCTTATCGTTGGTATGTTATTGGGTTGTATTTGCCGACCCGAATCCTCATCCTTTGTTTGTATACACGTTGTAATTCTGCGACTATTCATAGATATTATAGAATAATTGTAATCGTCAAATAAATAAGTTTTTTGGTATGAGTTTTGATCATTGTTATTATTCCTACCCTTAGTTGTAAAACCCCGCATTAATTTAAGTAGGTGATTACATAAACCGGCCAGTACCTACTCAGCCGATTGGTGTCCCGCTCACAGATGACAAATAAAGCGAGGAGACTGTCATCGTCACCTTTCAGCAATCGGTTGTAGAGAATTGAGATAACTGTTGATGTAGATCACTTGTGTTCTTAGTGGACAATGTTACCGTCCGATACAACTTACAAGAACTTTTAACGAGTTACGTTATAAATCCCACATTAGAGGGAGCGAATACATGCAACGAGACATTTCTAATTTCTGTTCTATGCTATTATTGATGATTTTCGAAATTGGTTTCTGATTGGATGGCTGAAGTGGCTGTGTATGTGGCACAAACTAGCCACAAGGTGGTTGTTTTGGGTAATGGAATGCTAGTACTTAACAAACGAGATAGTAACAGATTGTACAGAAAATATGAGAGTAGATGTGTTTTTGTAGAAAGGAACACTGACTCTTGTCAGTTAGTTAAAGAATTAGGCTCAGACGGAGCTGATGCGTATTAGTGTTTATCTACAGTTTTAATACTTAAAGTTTTTTTTTGCCTCACTCTAGGATTTTCTCCTGTGTCGTGGAAGCGTAAAGTAAAATAGCAAGTCGGTAAAAGAGACGAATTTGAAACCAATTGAATAAACGACATCATCATCATCACTAACGAGGCGAAGTGATCCAACCTCTAGGACGGTCAGCAAGCAGACGGATCTCCTGATGGTAAACAACGGCGCCGCCCATGGACACCTGCTGGACATACAGGACATAGTCACATCAGAGGATCTACAACTGCGTTGCCGGCTTTTTAGGACTTAGAGATTTGGGAATTGCCGACGGGGAATAGTTATTGGCCAAGGTAACTTATTTTTACTTCGGGGAGTTTAATGTTCCAGCACGCTGCAGCTTTATGATGAGTCTTTATGGTTAAATGCTCCAACGCCACTCAATTCTGTACTGCTCTCAGAATAGTTCTGTCACCTTACTTGAACCTTGTAAAATGACAGAGATAGCACGATGTTTAAGGACGACTTAAAATTGGGCAGCATTTCAATATCTGTATAACAAATCATAGATACATTCCGAACTCAGTGCTATCATTGAGAAATTCGATATTCGAAAAACCTATAAATCAATAAGGTGGTCAAAATAATTATAAGTATTAAAAGTAAAAGTATTATAAGTACTGTAAGTATTAAATAGACAAAAATACTAATCTAGGCAAGATATCGGGCGGGCTTGTCTCAGAAAGTAGTTGTTGGGAGCCCCCGTGTTATAATTATTGGTGACCCTACTGCCACAAAGGACCTCAATCCACACAAGAAGGATCCACAATCTGGACCGATCAAAAAACTTTACGAAATAAAATTATTGAAGACACTTGAAGTTACATAGAGCGCCATCTAGGTTATACACTCAAAATAAGTATGTAAGTTGAGGTAAATAGCAAAGTAGTTACTATTGTACGGTAGGTGGCGCTAAACTCTACATATATTTCTAGAAAGTATTTTAAAAATTTTAACAATTTGGTTTATTGAGGCAAAATGCCTATTACAGCTTACCGATTTTAAATTAAACCATTTATAAAAGTAAATGATACTTTCCAAACTTTTCTGCTAAAATTTTAAGGATTCAAGAGTTGGCAAATAAAAAGTATCTTGCTTGCCATCTGGCGTCGAGTAGCGGTACTATGCAAAACCAGTTTTGTAATCCAATACGCTAACGAAATAGAGCTTTTGAACTTCGAGTACAAAAGGTAAATAAAAGCACGCACGCAAAGTTTTGTAATATGATGAATGAAAACTTATTTAAAATCAATTGCTATAAATAGATTCATACTTCTTTCATTTGAATTAAACTTAATGTCGATAGTTGAGCTTCTCAAAGTGGTTGTTTTTGTTGTGCGTCGTACAATGTTTTCGTGAGTTCCACGGCCTGTCGCCGCGCCGGTCGCTTGTTACCGGTTCGCGGCAAGAAGTCGGGCTCGGCCTGGCCGTCTCTTGCTTCTTGCTCTAGTCGTACAATAACTTCGTCAGTCGACCACAAGCTTTCTGTGGCTGCGCTGTCACGCGCGCGTTTATTCTTGTACTCTCGGGTTTTATTTCGTGCGTAAACATTACAAACTTTTGTGTTTTCTTGAACACTTCAAACTATCATTGTGTTGTATCTATATGTGGTTTAAAAAGTAATATTTGACTGACAAGTGTGTTAATAAATATTGAAAAGAAATGTTTGTTCGATCGTGAGTTTTAGATAAATAGTTAAGAGTTTTGAAGCAAAATCTTTGAGTTTTTCTGTGTAGTGTGATGTTAGGTACTTAGGATGCGGTGGCGTGGTCTTTGGCTGGCACTGCTGGTGGCGGCTGTCACCGCCAAAGGAAAGAAACACCGCCATCACAAACCTGGTAAGATGATCTTACTTTTTATTATAGCTATCGTGACACAAACTAAATTAATTTAAAATCGCGGGTTACTCACGTGAATTATATCTACTGAGAAAAGCTCTACTAATTTCGAACATAGAGGGGTTCTTCCGCGTTATCCTCAGCCTACGAGTAAGCTACGTGACATTGCCGCGACCGCGCACGCTGCTCGTGAGGAAGAACAAATACTTTGCTACCCTGTTGGAGACTGAAAGGATGTGCTATTTTATGTTTAGATAACTTGAAATATCTAGTTGCCTATCTCTAAAGCGTTAAGCGTAGGATATAAAACGTTCACTATTATCGTAAATTCGTACCTGACTAACACCGCATCAAACTCGCAATAAACTTCAACAGGCATTCCAATAACCATTGTCTTGAGGTGAAGCCGTAAATTGAAAGCTGAGCTATTGTAACCATACCTAAATCAGGCTCTACCCTAAACCTCATTGATCCTCTAGTTCCTAGACTTATGTTATTCAATATTGGCAGTTGCACCTAGTGTATGTGAGGATTCGTATATCCTACAATATCGGTACCTCAAGTGACATCTGTCTTAATACGTTGATCTTAAATAGAGCGAGGGTTCTTCTGTTGGGTCAGCCGAATAATGACCGCACGCAGAGCAAGCAATAATACCTATATATAGGTAGTTATGGTTATTACGTGATGTACATAATATGTATTTACATAACTAAGGGTCGTATTGACATGCTACTTGAACACTACAATAATATTTCAGCAGGACACGATTAGATTACCCACCTATGTTTAGACTTGACTTATACAATATAAGTCTAGACCAGACCGTTTATATTTTTAACTGCTGTCCAGAACTTTTAAGAAGTACCTAGGTTACAAAAATAAAAGTAAACAATGTCAACCAACCTATACAGCGAATCGTATTATGTTAGGAAGGTATAAACCTTTATTTTTATCAAATTAATTAATCCTTTGGTTAGCGGTAGCCACCATGGCCGGCACTCCGGCAGGGCGGCCGTGCGGTCGCGATCCTTTCCTGGAACCCTTGCTTGTTTATCTATCTACCCATATACGCGTGCCATACCATACTCCTTCTAACCACTTAGCATACCTCAACCTGGTTTTTTAATTACGACATGCTATTTTGTTGTTGCCATTTTCCAAGAAGAAACTTAAAAATCTAGTCTCTAAACTTCATTGTTTATAACGAAAAATGATTAAGTTGCATTTACCTATGAGATGAAGCAAGAAATAAGAAATAGGTAATTACGCTTTCCATTATCATATTATCATCCTAATGATCATAAATTCACCACGGGAACCTACATATTATATCCTACACCCTATGTATCTCGCTAGCTTTCACACCAGAGTAAAAATCCACTAACAAATTATAAGAGAATTAAGTTCAGTACTACATAGAAAATAATCCGAACCATAAACCTATGAACCTAATAGTTCACCCTAAGGAACGAGCGCCATATTTAACAGGAATAGTGAACAAGTACCTATGGAGTTAAGTATAAAAAGTTGTGTAACAAACGAGTTATGCCTAGCGGGATCCACACGCTAAGCCGAGCTGGCCGAGCTTACACTTGCATCAGGTCTTTGTCCACTTCCACCATTGGACAAAACCAGGTGGATAATGAAGAAGGTATGTGTAAGAAATAATTATGAAGAAAGTTGCAGTAATCAGTGTCAGTCCAAGCTAATAAAATTCAAGATAAACTAGTAATTGTGTAGTTACTTACAACGACCATAGTCTCGGACCATTGACTTCGAATTGAGTACTTTACAGGTCAATATTTATACAATTGAAGATCGTATCTATGTAAATCTTAACAGTCCGTCTATTATACACAGTTCTTCTATTGGACGCTCCATTAATTCGTAATTGCCCCCATTTTTGGTTAAAAAGAATACCTAGTTTATATCATACGCATAGAAGGATCAGGATAGAAGTATTTCATGTGTAGTGGATGCTTCCGCTCTCAGCCCTCAGAGACTTGCAATTTTCAAAAGTGATTAGTTATTGATAGTTTGATACTGTAAATTAGGTATTTGAACACGATCACGATCTGTGATCTCATATGATGCACGAGAAGAGAAAAGAGTCATAACTAGTTAATTATGTAACTGAGTCAGGATCAATGACGAAGACGTAAAGTTATCTTGGTACTCCTAATCGTAAAAATCCTAGATTCAGGGCAAATCAGACATTTATTTTGACAAGAAATTACGTTAACGTCGAGCTACTCATAGGCGTCTCTTATGAAACTACCATAATAACTTAACATCACGCAAAGGCGTATAAAAAATAAAAGTATCCGAGAAGGGGTAGGCAGAGCACACAGCACATTACGGCACTTAATGCTACTGTACAATGTAACACCCACTTTACATTATATATGCGTCCCATGTATTAGGGGGTGAGCCTATTGCCATATACCGTGAACAATTCCAGACTCCGTGCTACTACTGAGAATTTTATTCTAAAAAACCCAGTAATACTTTGCCTGACTTGAGACCCCTTGCCCAGCAGTAGCACTCGAGACCACTCGGCTAACGAGGCAGCAGTTATAAAACTAACTAAAATATTTAAATTCAAAAGCTGCAGTAACTAATAACAAGTAACATATTAGCAGCAAGGAGGTTATTTAATTAGCTACGGCCACACTGGCAGGAGTGGCGACATTTCGACAGAATAGTGTCATAATCTTACGATCTGCACTCGGTCATCGGCTCAACAGGTTGGAATCGAATACCTCTACGCACTGAGATACTATCAACTCAGAACTCTAATTGCAACGGATACAGTTAAGATATTAAAAAAATAACAAGAATTCCTTTAACTAATAAGCTTTGCAATATGTACGATGTGTACAGTTTTGAATAAACTGAATAAATAGTTATCATTTAGGAAATTATCGGTCGATGGCTAAAGGTGTCTTGGCCACAGTGAGAGGAGGATTCCTCCACCGAGTGGTGGAGGAAGGATAGTGAGTCAAAGTCGGAATCAACTAATGACTGTTTTATTTCTTATTCTACATGATCTTATATACTAAACTTATCCTATGTGCACACATACCACACTATGATTGTGTGCTATGCGTGTAATGTACCATCTCAGCGCTCTATCCTTACGTGAGTACGTGATGTTTTCCTTAGTTGTATATACCGGAATTAATATGTTTTTTCAGTACTTTACCACGTAGGGTTGTCTCGCTGACATGGCATGTTCAAGTGTGAACAAGGGTTTTGTGTGCCGACATGAAACAGACAAAGTTTGTCCGTTACCTTGCCTTGACATGACATTGGAAGGTATTTTAAATTGACTTAAGGTGGGATTAACTCATCAGGAATTTTAATATGTAATTATTTATTTTAAATTAGTCGTACGTACCAAACTAACTATTTCAAGTTGTTGTTCCCATTTCACATTTTCGTACGAAATTAATGTATGAAAATGACAATAAATACTTCTGCAGTTGTTATTCTTGTATCTTATCATTATACTTAATACTCCTGCCTATACTGCTACAATATTCATAATTATTGTTTTATGGTCACATTGCCGCGTCACTTTATCTCCTGCTGCTATTAATATGCGCACACGCAGACCACAGACTCGCCCACTGACATGCGAACGAGTGAAACGTCTTCGTTTATGACCCAATTAATTAATGAGCTGCTGTGAAAGAGACTTGCAATTTGACAAAATTATTTTAACTAACTAACCAAATCAATCAAATTGTACCAATGAATAAACACTTCCTCATAATTTAAATGAGGAGAATTAATACCTAAAATATGATGTTTTAATGACACTAAAAATGGCGTTATGGAACTAGTTAAAAAAAAACAATAAACATGTCTGCTTCATAGGTAGTTAATTTAGCAGCGGACCGTACTCCAAAATGTAAAGTTAAAAGTTTTAACGGTATTTCACACTTCATTGTACCCATGACTAGTGAAACGTATTGTTGGGTGAGCAGGTAGACCCTTCGGGGAAGGTGTATTGTCTTGTATGATTAGGGCCTATTATGTGGCCGAACTACCCGAGCCGGTAATTATTTACCTACCGCACCTCTCCTACCTACTCACGCTCAAGTGGTGCTTCATTAAATTGTTGTTGATAAACACTACAGATAATTTAATTAGTTAGAAAAGTATGATGAATAATTTGTGACAATATAATAACAACGACCTACGAATACGAATATTTGTTGTAACTACACCGTATTGTGGGGCACAATCCTGTTTGCTTCACCTTCTTCTACTTGAATGTTCCTGAATCAACAGATCCCTATAAGATCATTGAAATGAACGGCTCTTTGAAAGGGTTGTGTGTCTGAAGAACACATGCCGGCGCCCAGCGCGCACTGCTCGGCTGTAAGCATCAATAAACAACATTTGTCACGACTGAGGAACAAATCTATGCCCAGGGAGCCCACTCTAAATGTAAACGAGTAAAAAATATTTTATTCCCAATGCAGGTAAATGTATTATGTTTAGAAATGTAGCTTATTAGCTTCTCTTTCTTCTATTATGACATAAGACCATGACCTGGGCTAACAAGGACTAGTAACTATTTAGTTCAGTAGTGGTTTAATCCAGCCATGCGAGTTTAGCTGCAAACTAAAACTAGTGTACCTAGTGACCTGTAAAGAATTAGGTATATTAAGCTGGACAATGACCGGCAGATCAATGGCGTAAATGAGGATACTATACATACACTCATGGAGGAAACTGATTTCGTTGCCAACTCTTAATGACTACTACCGAGATCCATGAAATAAAATAAATAACACAAATCGGAAACATAAACAATGTCAGCAATACTCACTACAAAACTGTTTTATCTAGAAAATTTATTTTCTAACTACGTGGGGTAAGCGACCGATGATTCAGCTTGCACAGTTCGGAACCCCGTCAGATGTCACCCTGTGCAGTCAAAGGACTTTGATTCTTATGTCAGGAAGTGTAAAGTTGACAAATGT